TGCGTCACACCATTTTCTGTGTCTGTCCCCTGTCTGCTGTGAATGTCCTCAGGTGACCTGGTGGCAGGTTTTTAGGGTCTGAGCCTGCCTTTCTCCAGGCCTTGGTTTCTCCATTTGTAAAAGGGCAGGAGTCCGTCCAGGGGGAGGTCCCCCTAGAAGCCTTGAGCATATGAACTCCCTAGTCTCAGGGCATTTGGGGACATACAGAAAAAGCACTGAGACACCTTATAGCATCAGTGGAAAGAGAATAAACCGGCAGGTACAACAACAGCCGTGGGCAGTTGGGAGAGGAGAAGAGGGTGCGACTGGAGCTGGAGGCACAGGGCTGAGGCGGGGCTCAGCTTAGGCTGGGGCCTGGATTTGGAGAGGAGGAAGGAGGGAAGGATGCATTTCAGTGGGAGGAATTGCTGGAACAAAAGGAGGGGTGGCAGGAACGTGAGGCCTGGCTTGGGGTGGCCGCAGGCGACGCCCTGTCACCTGGCAGGAAGTCCGCCTGGGCAGAGGTCTAGACGCCTAGGAGGATAGGGGAGAGCGCTCGTCCAGCCAGGAGGGCTGGGACTCCCCGCTACGCGCCCAGCCCTGGCCTGCCCTGCCCTGCCCTGCCCAGCCACAGGGGGCGCCCTTTCCTGGGAGGTGGGAAATGCGGCTCAGAGACCTCTGCTCGCCGGCCTCCCCTCCCCCTCCCGGTCCGTCTGCGCCGCCATGGGGAACTCCGAGGGCCGGTGAGGCTGGGGCGTGGGTCTGAGGGAGCCCCTCCACCGCCCCCTCAGCCATCTTCCCCTCCCACTTCTTATTTTTAGCCCCAGTCCGATGTCTCTGCTCCCCCAGTCTCTTCCTCAGCCCAGGGGAGGAAATGGGCGCCTCTGTATCTCGGGGCCTAGCGAGTTGCTCCCAGCAACCAGGCCCAAACAGGCTGGTGATTGGCCCTGGCTTCCACATCTAGCATCCAGACTGGCCGGAGGAGGGTGACTCAGCGGGCGGGTCAATGCCTGGCCCAGTGCCCACTCAGCCCCTTTCCTGTGCTGGTGCCTTTCTTCCCCCAGAGCAGCCCCAGAGTCCTGGCCTGCCATGGCCCTGGAGCGGGCTTCCCTATCCCGCCAGCTTCAGCCTAACGGAGCCCCAGACTGGGCCATACCAGCCAGCTCCCAGCTCTCCTTTCTACCTTATTCTTTTCCTCTCTGCTACCCTGCCCTCCCCCACCCCACTCATCCCTCCTTTGGAGGTCAGACTAGCCAGCTGTGGGAAGAGTTAGAAACAGGATGCCCAGCCCTTGTTGCCTCATGAGCTCGCTGGGATGGGGAGCCACTCCTGTGCTGGAGGAGCCTGGCTGGCTCCTCCCTCTGGGAGGGAGAGAGCCTCCCACTGGCATGGCACAGGGCCTGGGGCAGGATGCGGGGAAAGCCAGGGTCTCCCCTGTGAGCAGGAGAGGATTTCCCGACCCTGCCCGGGTGTTGTCTGCTTGAGGATGAGTCACCTGTGGAGCCCCTGGTTCCCACCCTTCCAGCTCCCCTTGCCTGCCCTACCCTGTCCTCCCTGCCAGCCCAGTGCGGGGTGGCAGTCAGCACGTGCCGTGCCCAGCTTTCCCACTGCCAACTCCCAGTGGACTTGGGCATGGGCGGCACCACCACCCTGGCCTGCACACCCTGGCCAGTGTCTTCTTGTGGTCCCTGCCGGGTCCCTGAAGACCCCAACTAGGGAAGGAATGGCGTTCAAAGCCGGTGGGCAGGCAAGACTTGGGGGGGAGGTAGGAGAGGCACTGGGCTCTTGGGGAGTGCGTGTGGCTCCTTGGCCACAGAGCTCCTGAGGTCTGAGTCATGAGCCCATGGGTGATAGTGGCTTCTTCCCCGCAGAGGGGAGCTCCCCAAGCCTAACTGAGAAAACCACAAAGACTCTAACTCGCTTCCCTCTCTTGGCTCGTGGTTTCCCTCATCTATAGAGTGTGTCTTAGTCCTTTCTCTGCATCTCTTTTAAGTGCTAATCAAAGCCTCCAGGAGGGAAGGGGAAATAGCCACCTTAATTTCTTTGGAGGCTATCACAGCGTGGTAGGTGCCCCGAGCAGCACGGCGCAGATTTCCAGCTCTGCTCCTGACTTGCTGCAGGTCCCTGGACATAGCTCTCTGTTCCTCAGTTTCCTCAATCACATAGTAATAGCCCCTGTCTCACAGGAAAGCTGTGGAGATTGAATGAACATTGTGCTGTTTAGAGCAATGCCTGGTACACAATCAGCTCTGTTTGCTGCTATTATGTTAGTATTAGTATTACTACCACCCACCTTTGGGAGCAGTAGGAAGTAAAGAGGTTAGTGAAGGACAAAATCCTGCAGTTGTTAGACTGAGCTCCCTGAGGGCAGGGACCACGCAGCTCCGTTTTCCGCTGTCCGTGTCTGCCTGGCACTGTTGCAGGAAAGGTATTTCCAAGGAGAACTCCTGGAGTCTCTCTTCTGGTGTCTGAGGAGGCAGAGGAGGCGGGACTAAGGAAGAGACACCTTAAGATGTCTTTTGAAGGCATCCTGTCACTCTTTCCTGATTCTCCCAGCTCAGGCTGGCTGGATCTGGGAGCCTTCGTTCTCCTGCTGGCTTCTCGGCTCTCTGTAGACCTGTGGCCAAGAAAGGCAGTGGAGGAGGAGGAGTCCTGATCAGTAGCCAGAACTGACGGTGACCCCTCCCAGGTCCCCGTAGCTGCTTGCTGTGCTCGCCACTGGACCCCTCACCTTCCTCCTCTGCGCCTCAGTTTCCTCATCTGTAAAAGGAGGGAGTTAAGCTGAACCTTCGCTAAGCTCCTTCTAGTTCTCTAAATTCAGAGAGCCTCCCAGGACAGCCAGCTGCCGTCGTTCGCCTGCAGGGTAGAGAGGCCTCTTCTGGGAAGTCCCTGCCAGCCTTGGAGTCGGCCCAAGGAGCTCGGAATCTATGTCTGCCGCGTCGCTTCACTTTACCAGCGGTTTTTCTTCTTTTTCCCTCCTCCCCCTGCAGCTGCCTCAGCTTCGGAAAAGTTCTGAAGTCATGGAAAGTTGGGGCTGTGCTCCCAGCCAGGGGCTGGGCCGGATGGCAGCCAAAACCTGAGCTGGGTTTTGACTTTATTTTTAGCTTTTCTGGCCGAGACGGAGGAGGGGAGACATCCTCCAGATCTGGAAGGGCCTCTTTTCACGGGAGACAGACACTGTTGCATGAAACAGCTTGTTCTGAGATGTGGCCAGAGGCCTGGACAGAGCAAGTGTGCAGGCTAGGGGCCCTCCCTCCAGGTCTTTGTGTCCTTCCCCTGCCTGTCTGGGCGTTGCTCTGTTCCCCTCCCAGTGGAGCCCAGTCAGAGGGGAGGTGACTCCTATTTGAAATCTCCTGAGCTGGTGGCAGAAGAACACGGCCTCAGTCTCGGCCCCTCCCTCCAGGGCTTCCTCAAGTCTAGCCTTCTCCATCCTGCTTCACAGTGAATTGTTGGGTCTCTTGGAGCTGAGGGCTTTGGTGGCAGGAGAAAAGTGTTGGCAGGGCCACTTTTCTCCTTTCCAGGATAGATTTTTCCCCCTGCCCACGTTTGGTTTTCCTTTTTTCCATCTGCCATGGTGGGTTGTCCTTGAAGTCTGATGAGTTACAGATGGCAGCTGGGCCCAGGCCCCTTGATCTTTCCTTCCACTTCCTGGGTCTAGTGCTTTCTCTCACCGTGCACTGGTGAAGGGATCATTATATCTGGAAAGCTCTTGGATTCCTCAGAGGTCTTTAAGAAAATGGGACCCCTCTATTTCTCCAGGTCACTGTCCAGCAAAAATAATCATGGGCCCAGAAAGGGAGGGAAGTCCGAGGCAACCCCTGTTTGGTTGGTTCTAGCGAAAGCTTTATCCAATTTGAGGAGTAGGGAGGTTCAAGGCTGGAGCCCAGGTGGACCTGGAGGCCTGGGGGCCACATCTGGAGTCAGATGATGAGGCTTGTAGTCAGTGGTCTGGCTCAGCAATCTTAGACTCTGATGAGGCCCAGAGGGAGGGAGGCTGGAAACCCTGTGCTCTGCCCAGGTCAGGGGACCAGACTGGGTTTGCAAAAGGGGTCAGTATCATTCCTGGTTGTCCTCATCCCAGGTCTCCCTAAGTTTTAACCAGACTTTTCCTCCCCACAGTCCCTGGTGTGTAAAAGGGACTAGAGGAGGTGACCGGCCTGTTTAGGGCTCAAGCTAAGAAGCATTAGGGACTCATGGACCCCGGCGCTGGGAGCCTGCCTGTCTGGGTCCCCGCAGGGAAGGAGGTTTAGCTGAATGGAAGGTGGGTGGAGTCAGGGGGGAGAAGGTTAAGGCCCTATGTGGGAAGGGGCAGGAGACAAAGGTGGCTCTGTCTCTTTGGGAAGGAACGGGAGAGGCGAGAGGGAAAAGCATTCATCTCACGGGATCCAGCTTTGCCCTTGGCCCTAGGCACGTTCCTGAGCACTGAGTCATGGGAAGGGTGGAGAAGCAGGAAGGGGGTTTAGGGGACCTTGGGGGAAGTGGGAGTCCAGCCCCAGAGGCAGGCAGATGCAAACAAACCAAGGCCAAGGATGCCCTCTCCTGGCAGTTTGAGGGACAGCAGGGCCGGACCCCACAGCTGACCTCCCAGGAAGTGACTTCTGTCTCTCTTCCTGGGGGACCTGGCTCTCTCTAGGGACACAGACTCCTTCTCTTAAACCCACTCTTCTCTTGCTTCTTTAGCAATACCAAGAAGGAGGGAGACTTGATGGCCGCCCAGGCCCGGCTCAAGGACCTGGAGGCTCTGCTCAACTCCAAGGAGGCTGCACTGAGCACTGCTCTCAGCGAGAAGCGTACGCTGGAGGGCGAGCTGCATGACCTGCGGGGGCAAGTAGCCAAGGTGAGGCCTGCCTGTGACCCCACCAGACATCTCAGGCCCCCCACCCCCAAACAAATACACACTCTTCCACCGCAGGTGCTCTCAAGAGCTGCCTGGTCTGACCTGTTGCACAGCATCAGAACCAATCGTGTCCTAGCGTCGTTGTACCCATTCAGACAGCACTTCCTCCTTCTTTGTGGCCCATGGTGTCTAGCACGGTGAATTTAGAAGAATCCACAAGCTCTTTCCATTTAACTTTGCAGTGAATTGTGCCTGGTCCTGGATCCCTCCTGGCTTGGCTTGGCCCTCCTATACAGAGCTGTGACCTCTCTGGAAGACAGGAGAGGAGTGTAGACCACCCACAGAGCCCAGAGTTGGGAGCTGTTGGTTAATCACATATGGACCATGTTCTTAATGCTTGACATGTGTATGGTGGTCTCTACTTTCAAAACACTTTGCTATCTATTCTAGCCTCTAATCTCTCACGTTACAAGCTAGGGAACAGAATCAAAGATGCTGGCTTATTCCCAGTCTCACAGCCTCATCTGCTCAGAGCAGAGCCAGGACTGGAGTCACTTGCTAAACATCTGTCCTGGGCTCTCTCCCCTCCCCTCCCCTCCCAGGCCCTGCCACCATGGTGCACTGTGGAGAGACCAGAGAATGCCAGCGGGTTGACTTCAAAACCAGGGCTGGGCCATTCTCCCAGGTCTCCTGCTTCCAGCTCTGCCCTACCTCCCAGCCCTTCCCCGCTATACTGGCCAGCTTTTGCTTTCTAAGATGAAGATCTAAGAAAGATGCTCCCCTGCTCAAGCTTCAGAGGATCTTTTTGTGGCAGATGAGGTTGCATCTCTCCATGATCCAGTTCCTGCCTTCCAGTCTGGCCACTTTTGCCATCATGCTCCCCCTGAGCCCTGTCCTTGAAGCTTCAGCAGTACTGAGCCTTCTGAAGACCCTGAGGTGCACGTGTGTGCCTTCCTGCCTCTGTGCCTTTGCACTCGCTCCTTTCTGCCCCTGCAGTCACGGCAGTGTCCCTCCCCAGGCCCCACCAACCCAGCTTTCAGAGCTTAGCCTCTCGGAGCCCTTCCCAGAATCCCCTTTACCACCCCAGGCACACTTTGGTTCCCTCCCTCATCCCTTGTATACTGTGGACATACTTCCTTTATTGCGGTGGCTATGTTGTAGAGAGAGAGGGGGCACTATCTTTTTTTTTCTTAGCACAGTACCTACCCAGAATCATTCCTGTGAGTGAGTAGATACCATTACCACTGTGGGCATCCAAGGCTTTCACAGCCCCACTTCTCAGCTTCCTTCCTGCTCTGATGTTCTGTGACCCCTCTCTCTGACCTCTGCCCGCTTCCTCTCAGCTCGAGGCAGCCCTGGGTGAGGCCAAGAAACAACTTCAGGATGAGATGCTGCGGCGGGTAGATGCTGAGAACAGGCTGCAGACCCTGAAGGAGGAACTGGACTTCCAGAAGAACATCTACAGCGAGGTGGGGACTGCGCTCTGCAGACTGGAGGACCAGGGCTAGGTTGTGACAGTTATCAGAGTTGGGGCTGGGGTATCAGCTGTGTGCAGAGCTCCCCTGCCTGACTCCCTTGTACTAGCGGATGGAGAGTGGGGGATGGCTAGCCCCGAGGTTAAAGAGGGGCTTACAGTGGCTCTGCTCAGGGTTAGGATTGGGCCGGGGGCTTGGGCACCTGGGTCTCATCCTCAAGAGACTAGTTCTAATTTTGGTATCTGGGTCCAACCCTTCCAGGAGCTTCGTGAGACCAAGCGCCGCCATGAGACTCGGCTGGTGGAGATTGATAATGGGAAGCAGCGGGAGTTTGAGAGCCGCCTGGCCGACGCCCTGCAGGAGCTGCGTGCCCAGCACGAGGACCAGGTGGAGCAGTACAAGAAGGAACTGGAGAAGACCTATTCTGCCAAGGTGCTTGCTCTCCCCTGGCTCTCTTGGTGCGCCTTGCCCCAGCAGCCCTCCCCTCTGCCCACCCTGAGATGTTCTGTGGGGGATTCCTGGGACCTGAGGCTGCAGCAGTGCTGCCCTTCACAGGTCCCCTCCCTCCCTCCCTTCTTCCCGATCCCTGCAGCCCTAACCCTGTGTCCTCCCCTCCAGCTGGATAACGCCAGGCAGTCAGCCGAGAGGAACAGCAACCTGGTGGGGGCCGCCCACGAGGAGCTGCAGCAGTCCCGCATCCGCATCGACAGCCTTTCGGCCCAGCTCAGCCAGCTCCAGAAGCAGGTGATGGTCCCATCTCACCCCTTCCCCCATCAGCCAATAGTCTGTGCAGGATGTAGGGTGGAAGTCCTGAGGAGGGGAGAGTAGAGGACCGAACATGCCCCTAGGACCACAGACTGAGTAAGAAGCCTAGGATTTGGAGTCAGATGACCTGTTTGCTGTTCTACGACTACCTCTTATCTTGCCTGTATGACCTTCACTCCTCAGAGCCGTGGTTTTTCCATTTGAATATGGAGATCATTCTTACCCTCCCTAACTCATAGCTCTGCCACCAGACTCAATGTGAGGTGTTAAAAGCGTCAGTGTTCTTCTAGCTGGCTGTGCCATTTGTGGCAGAAGGAAATAGGTTCCAGCCTCAGATTAAGAGATTTCAGTTAGATATGGAGGACTCCCCAGTCACCAGCCCAGGCCGCATTAGAGCCCATGAAAGGCTCTGATGGGAACCTGGAGATACTGGAGACGGTAGCTGGGTGACCCCTACCCCTTGCGTCTTCATGCTTGGGGCTCTTGGGAGCTCATCAGACACCCCATCCCTCTCACCTAGCTGGCAGCCAAGGAGGCGAAGCTGCGCGACCTGGAGGACTCACTGGCCCGTGAGCGTGACACCAGCCGGCGGCTGCTGGCGGATAAGGAGCGGGAGATGGCGGAAATGCGAGCAAGGATGCAGCAGCAGCTGGATGAGTACCAGGAGCTGCTGGATATCAAGCTGGCCCTGGACATGGAGATCCATGCCTACCGCAAGCTCCTGGAGGGCGAGGAGGAGAGGTGCGCTGTGGAGTAGTCGGGGAGGTGCTAGCCGCCACCTCTGGCCTGCAACCAGCCTTGACTAGGCCCCCCTCTCTGTCTCCCCCTCTGCAGGCTACGCCTGTCCCCCAGCCCCACCTCGCAGCGCAGCCGTGGCCGTGCAGCCTCTCACTCCTCCCAGACACAGAGTGGGGGCAGCATCACCAAAAAACGCAAGCTAGAGTCCACCGAGAGCCGTAGCAGCTTCTCCCAGCATGCTCGCACCAGCGGGCGCGTGGCCGTGGAGGAGGTGGACGAGGAGGGCAAATTCGTGCGCCTGCGCAACAAGTCCAATGAGGTAGGGCCCCAAGTCGGGACTAAGGGAATACAGCTGGGTTAGGAAGGACACCTGAAAAGTGAAGGGAGGAAGTTTGAGGGGAGTGCTGTTCCTCCTGTCAGAGGGAGACTAATGTGGGTATTTCCTCTATAGCCTAGTTCCAGGCCTGGCTCTAGGACTCATCATTGGCTGTGAGACCTTAGGCAAATTATTTAACCTCTCAGAGCATCAGTTTCCTCATCTGTAAAGTGGGCATGAATGATAGTCCCTAACTGAGTCCTTGGGAAGATGAAAGTATTGAGTGTGTTTGGCACAACATGGGCACCCACAGATCGTGGCTGTTATCCTTGAGGCAGGGAGAGGGGCAGTGAGAGGCAGCATAGAGGGAGAGGCCTCTGACTGAGGCCTGCCTGAGCCCTTGAGTGAGATAAACCCAAGAGCCTGTACGAGCCTCCTCCACCTTCTCCTTTCCTCCCTGGCAGGACCAGTCCATGGGCAACTGGCAGATCAAGCGCCAGAATGGAGATGACCCCTTGCTGACCTACCGCTTCCCACCAAAGTTCACTCTGAAGGCTGGGCAGGTGGTGACGGTAAGTGGCAGGGTGTGTGGGACTCGGGGTGGCCCTGGGTGAGGACAGGTTGGCCTGAGGATGGGAGTGCTGGAGTGAGTGCCCTTCTCTAATTCTCCCTCCCCAGATCTGGGCTGCAGGAGCTGGGGCCTCTCATAGCCCCCCTACCGACTTGGTGTGGAAGGCACAGAACACCTGGGGCTGCGGAAACAGCCTACGCACAGCTCTCATCAACTCCACTGGGGAAGTGAGTATGCTGCAGGCTGGCCTCTTGCTGGATGAGGCTCCCCCAACGTCCAAAGTTGGAGCCAGCTGCCCCCAACCCAAAGGAGCCCATTCAGGGCCACTTTCTACCAGCTTTCCTGTGTAGTCTCAGGCCCCAAACTCTCCACCCAGTGGGCAAACACAAAGATACCTCCCCCAGCAGCAGAAGGGGAGGAAGTTAGACAGTGAGGTTTGTTAAAGGCAGACCATGCTTCTACCCAGAGAGGTCAACAGTGTCCCTGTGGGGTAAAAACAGGTTCCTTAGCTACAGTACCACAGAGGACAGAGTAAGCAGCCGGCTGGACAGAGGGCAGACCACGAGAAGATTCTTCAGTGGTCACTGTGGGTGGATAGACTCTACACCCCTCCCCGCTGCCCTGACCCACTAACCCCTGGGCCTGGTCTCGTTTCCCCGGCAGGAGGTGGCCATGCGCAAGCTGGTGCGCTCAGTGACGGTGGTTGAGGACGACGAGGATGAGGATGGAGATGACCTGCTCCATCACCACCACGTGAGTGGCAGCCGCCGCTGAGGCCAAGCCCACGCTGGGGCACCCAGCCAGGCCTGGGGACAGCCTCTCCCCGGCCTCCCCACACCAAAAATCTTTTCATTAAAGAATGTTTTGGAACTTCACTCGCTGCCCTGGCTTTTCTTCTCTCTCCTCCCTATACCTTGAACAGGGAACCCAGGTGTTTGGGTGCCCTACTCTGGTAAGGAAGGGAGTGGGAACTTTCTGATGCCATGGAGTCTTCCCATGGGAGCCGTGGACAAGGGTCTGGATTTGTCTCCCGGGACAGGGACGGGAGGACAGATGTGGGGCACCCAGCCCTGCCTCTCTCCCCCCATTTCTGTTGCATGCATCTCCTTTCTTGTTCCCTCCCCATTCCTGTCACATGCATGGCCTCTCATTTTACCCCCTTTTCCTGGGAGAACAGTCTCTCTTACCCACACCCCTTCCCAATTAATTTTGCATGCCAGCTGCTCTACAAGCTTGCTCACTCTCCTTTCCCTCTTAAAACTTAGAGTAGCTAGGACAGAGTCAAAGCCACAACTCCCATTCCCTGTCCCTAAGTCTTCCTGACCCTTCCCCCTTTGCATGTCCTCCCCGCCTCTTCCCAGTCCTGGCCCTCCAGTTAGGCCGCCCTGTTAGGTTACTTGAGCACAGAACCCCACCTTCCTGCCGGGCAACAGGAGCCTGCAGGAGCGCAGAGCCTGGGTGTCGGGCCTGAGTGGTCAGTCTCAGACTCGCCGTCCCGCCTGAGCCTTGTCTCCCTCCTCAGGGCTCCCACGGCAGCAGCTCGGGGGACCCCGCCGAGTACAACCTGCGCTCCCGCACCGTGCTGTGCGGGACGTGCGGGCAGCCTGCCGACAAGGCGTCTGCCAGCGGCTCGGGAGCCCAGGTGGGCGGATCCATCTCCTCTGGCTCCTCTGCCTCCAGTGTCACAGTCACTCGCAGCTACCGCAGTGTGGGGGGCAGTGGGGGTGGCAGCTTCGGGGACAGCCTGGTCACCCGCTCCTACCTCCTGGGCAACTCCAGCCCCCGAACCCAGGTGAGTTGTCCCTCTGCCTCCACACCCCTTGTGGGCAGAGGACCCAGGTCCTTGAGGGTTAGGACAGGGTGGCCCTGCAGGGGGTGGAGAGCCTTCTCTTCCGCAGCCCGGGGGAGTGGGAGCCTCCTCCCCGCAGCCTAAGATCTTAGCTGGTTGGTTGGTTGCTCCTGCGTCCTGCCCCTCCCGTCTGAGCCCCAGATTGGAGGGCAGGGGCAGGGTTGGGGTTAAGGGGAGGGAGGGCACGGCCGGTTCCTGCCGCTCACACCTCTTCTCTTGTCTCTTCTCTCTTAGAATCCCCAGAACTGCCGAATCATGTAACCTGGGACCTGCCAGGCAGGGGTGGGGGCGGAGGCCTCCTGCTTCCTCCTCCCTTCATGCCCATCCCTGCCCTGCACCTCATGGGAAGGGGCTTGAAGCCAAAGAAAAATACCCCTTTGGTTTTTTTTTCTTCTATGTTTTGTTTTTTTTTTCTAAGAGAAGTTATTTTCTACAGTGGTTTTATACTGAAGGAAAAACAAGCGCAAAAAAAAAAAAAGCTTCTATCTCAAATCCCCCGTCCTTTTCCCTGCTTCCAGGAAACTCCAAGTCTGCCTTAAAACCAAAGAGGGAGCCAAGGGAAAGGGCTGCTTTTACAGAGCCTAGTTTCTGCTTTTCTGCCCTGCCTGCTGCCCCCACCCCGGGGACCCTGTGACATGGTGCCTGAGAGGCAGGTGTGGAGCCTTGTCCGCCAGCCTCCAAGGGAGGAAGGCTGAGCCAGGCCCCTGGGCCGGCCCCCATCGTTCCACTACACCTGGCTGAGGCTCCTCCGCCTGCCCTGCTCCCAGCCCCCCTGCCCCCAGCCCCGGGGTGACTGGATTCTCCCAGGTACCAGCTGCGCTTGCTTTTTCTGTATGTTATTTAGACAAGAGATGGGAATGAGGTGGGAGGTAGAAGAAGGGGGAGGAAATGTTAGTTTGAGCCTGCCTTCACCCAGCTTTAGAGCTGGAGGGATGGGGGTGGGCTCTGGCCAGTCACTGGAGGTCAAAGTCAAGTGGGTGTAGGGGAGAAGGGAGAGGGAGACCTACTAGAAAGGGGGGAGAGCCTGCTGGGGCCCCACCCCAGAGAAGGAAGGTGAGAAGGGGTGGAGGGTGGGCGGCAGTGGGTTTTGGCATACACTAAGGAGCCCCTTGCCTCCCATTTCCCATCTGCACCCCTTTTCTCCTCCTCAAATCAATACACTAGTTGTTTCTATCCCTGGCTTGTGGTGTCTGTCTTTGTTGGTGGGCGTCACTGTGTGTTCCTAGGGGCAGACACACACATACACACGCCCCACTTGGTCTCCTGCATCCTCATGCTGCCCAGCCTTGGCCCTGCTCTTGGGGAGGTGCAATGAAGCCCTCAGAGCTTCGGGTGCACATCTGGGCACCCAGTGGTGGCTGATGGGGAGAGCCTCTGACATAAGCATCACCCACCCACTGCAGGGCTCTCTCCCTGTGAGTCCCTCAGAGAGGTAGTCCCTCGAGGAGGATATTTCGTTTCTCCCTTCCTTCAGCCAGCCAGCACTTATTGAGCACCTTCAACATGCTGGACCCTGAGCTCAGCATGAATCCTAAGACATACAATATGGACCCAGTCTGAGGGTAGTGTGATATCTCAGGACCTGGGGCAAGGACAGATGGGGAGGAGGGAGTAGAAGCCAGTGAGAGCAGCAGGAAAGGAGCAGGACTGACTTTGTGAACAAGCAGTTAATGGCCCTTTGGGCCACATTCCATGTTCAGCTTGGGGACAAGGAAATGAACAAGACAACACGGTCAGTGTCCTCAGGGACCTGCCAGAAAACATGGACTGCTGTGGACAAGGGGATGTGTCAGGTGAAGTAGGAGCCTCAGAGGGGGAGGCCTATAATCTCCAGGGATGAAAACTCCAGGCTGAGGGAAAGGGCCCCAGACAGGGAAAATGAACTATAGAAACCAACCTTTCTCTGGCCCTTCATAGATTCCAAAGTGTCTGCGCTATTTCATTTGACCCTCATACTACCTTGGCAGGTAGTTATTGTCCCCTTTGCCCCTGGAAATGGGGACTCAGAATTAACTTGACAAAGCCACGCAGCTAGTAGGTGGCAGAGATCCCAGGGTCCTGTCTGCAGACCCCTGCTTCTGTGACATTATGCTCCCCCTCTGAAAAAATAGTGATGATAAAATACAAGTTTATACTCCCTGGAGCAGAGGAGTTGAGCCTGCCCCAGTCAAAAGTCAGTGAGACACAGCATGTCTGGGACTGCGGGGAAATGAAATGAGTGAGAGGAGAAAAGCCTCCGAAGTCCTGCAGGAAAGCCCCAGACTGAGACCAGGCGCCTCTGGGAGAGGGATGCTGAGATGATGGGGCGTGGGCTTGAGGAAGCAGTCCTTTCCCGTGGTGGGCGGAAACTTCCTCTCCCAGCCCACTGCGAAGGCCTCAGTGGCCCCCAGTGCATCAGCCGAGTCGCCCTTTCCGAGGGTGTCCACATGCACTTCCCGGGCTGGACACCCGGGGGCGCCAGAGCCCCACCCACTCGGGTTCCGCCCACCGACCCCCTGCCGTGCCTCTTCTCACCCCCACATCCCCACACTTAGCTTCGCCCCTCAACCCAGCTGAACCTCAGTGGATGGCGCAGTGTGAACTGGGAAACAGCAGGACCAGCAGGCAAGGACCCTGCTCTGGAGGAGGGCCGAGGGATAAGGCAAGTCTGTAAAAACGGCAGCAAGCTGTCCACCGCTGTAGAATTCTCAGCTCCGACTCCGCGCAGCTGCGGCGTCGCGCACGTGGTTACCCACGTGACGCTCCGCACACAGCGGACCACGCTTGACTATTAAAAATTTTTTCGTTGTCGTTAAAATGTAACTCACACCCTTTTAGTAAAACGGAAAACACAGGTAATCACAAAGAAGAAAAAAGAAGTCATCCCTTTTCAAGCACCAAGAGGCTACGGATGGATTTCCTTCCAGATTTTTCCCCCTGAATATATACTTTACATAGCCAAGATCTCACTGTGATTTAAACTTTGATTCTGCTTTTCTCAGCTTTTCTCAGTTAACATGCATAAGCACTTTCCGATGTTATTACACAATTTATGAAGGTTATTTAAAACTAACGCTGATTTTAAAAAATTGGGGGGCAGGTAATTAGGTTTATTTATTAATTTGATGGAGGTACTGGAGATTGAACCCAGGACCTCACGCATGCTAGGCATGCACTCTGCCACTGAGCTATATCAACTCCCCTACATTGATTCTTTTTCTATCATGTAATACTTGGCCATTATAGAGAGGGTAGAACAAGAGAAAGGAGAAAATCATTATCTCCACTTCCACTCCTCAGCGATAACCAGTCCACTATGAACACTATGGAGGGGGGGAGGACTTTAAGCACCTTTTTTTCAATTTTGAAATATATTTACAATTTTCTACCAGTTGTTTATAAATAATGTGTCCTGGAACAGACATTATTGCATGCATCTCTGGGTATTTCCATGAAATAAATTCCAAGAAGGGGACTAGCTGAGTCAAAGGTATACATATTATAAAGGCAGTTGACAATATTGCCAAGTGACATCCAGAGAAACTGGGTCCTTAACCATTCTCACCTGCCACAGAGCCCACTTTTCCCCCAAACTCTTCCCAACACCAGGATTTTTGTCAGTTTTCATCTTTGCCAACTTGTTAGGAAAATAACTATAGCTCATTAGTGTTTCCTATTGCATTTCTTTGAAGACGCGGTAATTTTTTTGCATCCATGTATATTGGTTTTTGCATTTCTTCTGGTGTGAATAACACGTGTCTATCCCTTTTGCTCATTTTTTTTTATTGGCAAAGTTACCTTTTTTACGTTGATTCTTTAAGGGAGAAAGTTTCCCTCTCCATTTTATCTATCTATAGCTATTAGGCCATATGTTTTGCAAATATTTGGTGTTTTGCAGCCATTTAACCACCTCCTCTGGACATTTAGATTAATACTCAATTTTATGATTGTAAATAATGCTGTAGTGAATGTCTTTTCTTTAAATATTTCAGGTAATTTCTTAGATGGAATCCTGATGATTCTGCTAATTGGTCTTATTTTAAATTCATGACCACACGCCCCCGGTACTGCCCCCACTGCTACTCCTGTCCCTAGCCCAGTCATCCCCTTTCTCCAGATGACTGTATCACACCTCTCCTCCCTCTTCAAACTTCTCACTCTCAGCTGCTGACCTCCTTCCTCTTTCATTCCAAAAAGACTGCTTTGCTAACCCAGCGGCCACTTCTCAGTCTTTATCCTCCTTGACCTTATTTGTCAGATGATCACTCTTCGGTCCTTCTCAGCCTGCATCACTACATCTTCCTCTTCTCCCTGACTTCTGATGGATGGAGTGAACCAGGGTTCAATTCTTCTCGCCTCTGTCTATACTTAGGTCCTGAGAGACTTCCTCCAGGCTCATGGCTTTAAATATCATCCATATATTGGTGACTCTCAAGTTTACACCTTTAGCTCATTCCTTTGCTTGAACTCCAAACCTGAATGCCCACATGACAGTCTGATGGCATCTCAAAGTTAACATGTCGAAAACAGATATGCTGGTCTCTGATACCTGATTTCCTGAGACCTTCAGCCAAATAGCTTCCAAAATGATGGAACCAGTTTGCACGTTCACCACTAGAGGGCAGGCTATTTATTAGTAGTCCCGTTTTAAGTGAAGCAACGGAGACCCAAGGAGAAGAGAGATTTACCTGAAGTCACCTAGCTTGCTGGTGATGGACCCCAGGACTTCTGATTCCCAGAACACACTGTTGCCACTCAGAATACTGTGAGAGGATCCAGGAGGGCTTTATGGAGGAAGGGGTCCTTTTGGGGCAGGAGTGGAAGAATGGGAAGAGTTCTCGGTAGACATGAGAAGAAATAACATTCCAGGTAGGGGTTAGAATCTAAAGTGAAACTTGAGAAAAGGCAGGGTCCAAGTGGACTGAGCAGAGCATTCCCATGCTGAAGGGATGAGAGGGGACCTAGGACACAAGCCAGGGAGTTTGAAATTAATTCCACGGGCCCTGGGGAGCCAGGGGGATTTTTGAGCAGGGATATGAAATCTGAGGTTTTCTGCTGGCTCATTGCTGTCTTTCAGTTTCCACTTCTTTTCCCCTCTCCTTATATGTGTATGTCTCAGCTGTCCCCTGCCCCTCCATGGCCAGAAGTAACTGCTTAAGTCATTTTCCTTTTCCATGTCACCACCCTGACAGTCTCTCAGTGGGTAGGAGACAGAGGGGCTGAGCCAAGACACTTTATCTCTTAGTCTCCCCAGGGCCTCAGTGCCCCCTATCCTGCCCCCCCAGGGGCGGAGGGAAGGCAGTTGGGGGAGTAGGGTGCGTCCTGCGCAACACCCCCCTTGACTCTGAGGTACTGGCCTCCCCTCCCCCTCTGGGGCCCTTACAATCCTTGGGCTGATTCTCCGCGCTTAGTACCAGTCAGTGCCAGCTGGCAGCTCTCACCGGAGACTGAGGTGGCACGAATATGGGCGGGGGGGAGGTA